CCTTTGTTGTACAGCACATCAGAGAATGAACAAACATAGGGATATATACTAGTTAACATTCCTGACAGCTATTTCACAAACAGGCTCTGATACTTTTCTAAGGAAATAATCACCATTTATGTAGAGATTATTCCATTTTATAAATAATGGAAAAATTATAAACTACTATTGGGAACTATTTAAATAATTTATGAACAAATTAAAGCACGCTCAAACATTTATTGTATTGCTAAGCAAAAATTAAAGTGTTGGGTTTTTTTCTCTCCATAAGCCAAGAAAGACAAAGATAACAGGAGAAAGGACTATAATAACAAAACTTTGGAACCTGGAAAGCAGATGGTGCGTGGCAACTGACTCAACAGACTCACAAAAGCTAAGTCTTGGGCTAATGGTGAAAAAAAGTAACAGTCGATCTGATTTTTACTACAGATTTCCCCCATCTGGAAAGACTAAGAAACTGTCAAATCAGGAGTCTCAAGTGGGAATAAAAGTGAGACCAAAAACTAGGACTGGTTTAAAATCTACATAAGCAGCACCCTGATTTCAAGATGTACACCCTAACTCCCATATGTAAGTTTACTGCCTCTAATCCAATGTTCAATATCTTATAAAGGAGACAACCAAGTATCACCAGGTATTTCAGGAAAACCTCTACTATAAAAAAATAAAGGACCAAAATAACCAAGAAGTAAAACAACTTGGAGAAGACTATACAGGGAGAGGAAAATTTTCAAGAAATTACAAATAATTCCTCAGAAAGCCAGTAAATGATACTCATCTCTGAAACAAGTATTAGGAGCTATTTTTAAATATTAGATTTTGAAATATAGTTCATAAAAATATGTTGGATTCCAATGAACTTAGTGATTCATCAGTTATAAATACTATTAAATGCTCACCCTAAGTGTAGTTAACTATCACCAAAAAAGATACTATATTATTATGAACTATATCCCCTGTGCTATACTTCGACCCGTGACTAAATTATTTTATAATCTGAACTTGTACCTTTTTATCCCATTCAGCCATGTCACCAGTCCCTCAGGTGTTCTTTTTTGAATAGTAATAAGAGAAATGTTCAGAGAACACCCCTCCAAGAAAGCCTTGATTTATAATAAAATCATATACAAAATACTCAACAGGAGGACTGAAAGGTAAATATGAAGAGATCTAGAAAGAACAAAAGACAGAAAATAGAAGGAAAAAATCAGAAGACCAGTCCATAGTCAAACATCCAAACAGGAGTTCTAGGAGAAATCAGAGAAACAGGATAGAAAACCACCACCAAATAGTTGAAATCTCCAAACAAAGAACTAAAAAGTAAAACATAATTATGCTTAAACATGGATAAACAAAGCATGGTTGTGAAATTTCTGGATAAATTATTTGTCAAGAGACTTTGCATAAAGAAAAAAGTCATACAAGGATGAGGAATCACAATAGTTTCAGACCTCGAAAAAACAAAAAATCTCTAATATTTTAATTGCAGTGGAATATGCCTTCACGATTTTGAAGGAAAAGAACTTCTAACATAAAATTCTATGCCCAGCTAAACTATCAATCCAGTGTCAGTATGAAATACACATGAAGGTGTCAAAAATTTACCTACAAAGCACTCTTTTCCCAAGAAGCTAGAGAATGTGTGCCATCAAAATAAATTAATAAATCATAAAGCAGCCATGGCACCCAGAAAACAGTTTCGATCCAGGAATAAAGAAAAGCCCGGGGGTAATGGTGAAAAAACTATAGACGACAGCTCTGTAACAGAGAAAAACAAGAACTAGTCCAGGTTGCTACAGATCATAAGGCTCCTGGATGGTATTACTGAAAAATATAAAATTATCAAGCTGAATCAATGTCTTGAGAGAAGACTTATTAATTAAACCCCTAGACTCTAAGTATATTTTAAAAATATACATAAATTTTTTAAATCATCAACTCCAGGGAATACAAAAGAACTGCAGGAAATGTAGTCATAATATGCTATATGCTCAGTAGTGATTAGCACTTACAAAGCACTCTTTGTAACAGTAACAGAACTACAATTTTGGTAGTCATATTGGAAGGACTAAGAGCACATGCACATCCAAGTAAATATGTGTAGGTGAGTGAAAAATTCAAATCTTCATCTTCCATGACAGGAAGCTGAAAGGGGTTATGCCTAAAACTGAAAATTGAGGCACAGCAATATAAACATTTCATTCAGAGGTATGTATTATCCAAGAGCTGCAGATGGCTGCCTTGAGATGGAAAACAGACTAGTATGTTTTTTAATAAGCCCACAGAGTTAAGTTTTCAGATATTAAAAATAAAAACTTAGAAACTTAAAAGTTATATTCAAAAGAACACAAATCAGTGCTACACAAAAGTGCCTGTTACTCTGCAATGAGACAAGAAGCTTGTACCAGAACGTAAATCACTATATCACTGAGAATATTGCTGACATTTTTTCTGGAGCAAGCTTTTCTTGATGAAAGAAGCAATGTCTTCATTCACATTCTGGCTCAAGCACCTTATATGCTAGCACTTTGGGCAGGACTGGTATAGATCAAGGGTCAGCAAACTTATCTGTAAAGGACCAAATAGCTAGTATTTAGGATTTGCAGGCCATATGGTCTCTGTCACAACTACTACCTCTGCCACTTTATCCTAAGGACAGCTATAGACAACATGGAAATGAAGAGATGTAGCTATGTTCCAATTTATTGATGACACTGAAATTGGAATCTCCTATCCAGTTGGCCCTTGAACATGCGTTTGAACTGCCCAGATCCACTTACACATGGATTTTTTCTTTGAATAAATACTGTACAGTACTGTAAATGTATTTTCTCTTCCTTATGAGTTTAATAACATTTTCTTTTCTCTAGCTTCCTTTATTCTAAGGATATAGTACATAATACATATACTACACAAAACATGTGTTGACTATTTTTGTTATCAGTAAGGCTTCCAGTCAATAGCAGGCTATCAGTAATGTTTTTGGAGAGTCAGGTTATACACCCATTTTCAACTGCATGGGAGTTCAGGCCCCCTAACCCTTACATTGTTCAAGAGTCAACTGTAACGTTCATGTGCTACAAAACATTTTTTTCTATGTAAATATCCATTAATGGCTCACAAGCTACACGAAAACAAGTGATGAGCCAGATTTGGCCCATGGGCCAGCTTGCCATCCTTGAGATAGAGCATATGATGAACTTTGTTTAAAAAAAAATTAAGAACAGAAAACCTGTTTTCATAGTAGTTTCATATAGTACGAGTGTTTTTCCTACTCCTATGCTTTTTTTCCGTTTTAATAAAAATAATGCCAAAGAATTTCAAAAACTCAGCAAGTTTTAAAACTGTTTACCTACCTACAAATACACCTTTTTCTAGACTGTTTATATACAGCATATATCCAAATGACCTATATTTATATTATTCCTCATAATCCTCAATCAGATGGATTTTAGAGGTAATCTCTAGTCTGTCATTATAACGAATAAAAAAAAGGTCTCACCCAGTTTTAAAACAAATACAAAACCAAAACAGATCCTGGGATCCTGAATTTTAAAAATGGGGCTTATGTTCCTACAGCCAGCTCTCCCTTCTACTTATATTTAAGATAAATGCAAAGCTACTGACTCAATTATCTATCTTTTTTGAATTTCTTTCTTCAGCAATGCCTTAGTTCCCAACCAGCAAAGGCCCAAAAAGCCTTCAAAATCTTCTTCGTTTCTCCACAAATTCGGTTTCAACTGAGGAGGGGCTGGTAGGGACAGTACAGGCTAATGGAACCCTCCCAAGCGTCATCAACATTACTAATATCACAGATCTTCGAAGTAGTGATGGTGAAAAATGGAAGGCCTACCTCCCCTGTAGAATCAGTGATCATCCTTTCATTGTGTACCTACAGTCTTAGAACAGATTATAGGAAACATAAGAAAACCAAGTACATTCTAGTTAGGTGGAGCAGCTGTGCCCAAGTTTCCCAGTTAGAACCGGTCCTCACACAGAAAGGAAGTAAGTGTCTATTCTGGTCTGCATCAAGACTTGGAAGACACCTAGGGGATCACCAGACAAGGGACTAACGTTACCAAAAGGCATGATTACAGTTAACCCTGACAGCTGCGTTGTGCCCACCTAGTAGAAGTATAGAGGCCACTTGAGCACTGTGACCTACTGCTTTGGGCATCATTAAAAAGAAACTGAAGAAATTCAGCCAATTCCTCAGACACTTTGTTAAAATTTTTGTCATTGTTAAGAGAAACAATTCCAAGGTTTTTCAGGCTGACAGTGCCACCTAGTGGCTCTCCATCTTAAAATCACTGTTAGCCAACATTTGGGAAGGCCCACCCATCTGATATGGATATTCGACCACTTTTTTAGTCCATAAAGTTCATAAAGTCCAAAAAATAAGTTGGAAAACTTTACAGCATTTTGGGCAAATGAGAATAGGTCTACCACTCAAGGTACTACACCCTGTAACTAAAACTTAATACTTTTATAGCCCTGCTGTTGGAACACTCTATTCAGTATCTCTAGGGAATTCCCACCAAAGAAATCTAACTCGGGACACATCAGTAGAGAGCTCTCCAAGAAATTACACCGGAAAAAATTGGAAACTGTAAGCGGTCCAAAACAGAAAGAAGACACACTTGAGGTCATATATACCGGTCAACAGAAATCTGAGAAGATGCCATTTACTGAGCAAACAGAAAAAAACCTTAAAATATGACATATATTTCAAGGCAGCAAAGTCCACAACTTCAACCCATAAACTTCTAATGAAGTTATACAAATTAACAGTAAGAAATTTAAAAATTGTTATGGTTTCTAAGTCCCCTGAAATAGCTGAAATAGCAAACACACATACACTTTCATCATGCACACTCACCTGTATGCTACTGGCTTGCCCTCAAATAGAAATGCTTCAGCTCTTGATTATCCAAATTTTTTGTATTATCACTAGCCCGACAACATCCACTATGCATCTCAGGCTGCTGGGGATGACTCACCTTGGCAACAAACTGCTTGTCCTTTTGGTCCAAATTAGCAGTGGGAGCCACATAATCTCTCCATATTCTCAGCCTACGCTCCTTGGCAAACCTGGTCACAAAGCAAGGACGCAAATCATTCAAAGTCAACAAATGGACTCCACCATCATCGTGGGAGAGCAACATACAAAGTCCTACCCTAGGCACCTGTGGAGAAAGGCCACCGGTCAGACCATAACAGTGTGACAGCCACAAGAAAAAGTATACAGCAATTAGAACTATCCAAGATGCATTTATACCATAAATGCATGGCTGGTAGACTGGGGTCTAGATGTGCAATTTTTCCAACCTGGTTGGCTTATCTCGTAGCTCCTGAGCGACTACTAAAATGCCAGGCACTGAAATGGCAAACAGAGCAACTGCTCCCTTAAATGGGAAGATTTCACATCTCTAAACAAATTTTATTTTTTTTAAAGTATAGGCCTGTCCAATTTCCATTTGAATTATAAAAAGGTTATTAGCTACCCAAATCCTATGTGGAAACCAAGAACAAAACTGTCACTATAATGTATCAAAAGAGTGAGAAAAATGGACAAAAATCCAACTGAAGTTCATTGACAAAAATTTAGAAATCATGTTGGCAGAGATTTGTTTTGTTTTAAAGTATCTAGTCCAACAGACATTTTTTGAGTCAGACTAAGGGAAGTAGAATATGTGCAAAAATTAAAAAAAAAAAAAAAAAAAGATCTGCTATGTCAAAATATTTATAAACAAATGGACATTTGTGCAGGGGAAATGAACTATTATTTCTGAAAACAATATTGCAATTTTTTTAATAAGAGCACTAAAATGAGGAGACAAACAACATGTATTAATTGTAAAAACATGAAATACTTTGATTTACCAACAATGCAGGCACATCAAATACAGCATGCAAAATAGCAAGCAAGTGTTCACATGTTACTGAAATATGACTTGAATCCCTTGGTCTACACCTGTTTTTTAACGATGAACACTCTTAAAAATCCATAAACTCTCTTATAGATGTTATGAAACATGTAGATATTACTGTCATCCTCACTTTCTTCAGAGAGAGGCAGAAACTTTAAGAATGCAAGAATAATTATCAACCAAAATAATATATAGAATAATGAACTTGCAAGATTTTCTGAACAAAAACAGAACAAACCAAAAAAGAGCATTATTCTGATAAAGAGATGTTTAGAAAACTACACTGGATAAGAATATCTTTTGAATTGAATTAAGGAACATAGAGACTAAAAATGCCTTATATAATCATTGTGTTATTTTTTTTTTAAATCAGACAGCCTACCTTTTGTCAGACATCCCATATCAAATGGCCCAGATTAAAAAATACTTTTACAAAAGGTTGCAAATATTTCTGCTTGCAGTATAGAAGGATGTAAAAGACTTAATGAAAGGGAAAATAATTAAAGTCATTCAATTCACGTTCTTGTACATCTCTTAGCTGTGCACCTCAAACACACAAAAATGTGAAGTTGTCAAGACCATTGTTAATTTTATGATTCTGAAATAAGCCACAAAACAAGCCTTGCGAGTGGAACATTGGCACAAGTGTTTACGTGGTCTTTTGCTTAAATGCACCCTGGAGGTGGTGACTGTCACTTTGCTGAACATCATCTCTATTCATCTGCTCTGGCTACCTGCTTTATTTTCTACCATCTAACCCATCAAGTGAATGAAATTCACCCATATTTGGAAAGACCTGACCCTGACACTTGAAACAGCCACCAATCTTTGGAATATCCACCATTATTTTTCTGGAAATAACTTGTTTCTACATCTGCTTTAGCCATGAGGCACCCAGCCAAAAACAAGAAGATAGCACCCCCGGTTGCGTTAGCATTTATAATTTAAACATACTTTGAAATAAATCAGGGCATTAGCCTCACACCAACGAATGTCTGTACTGTTTTAGGCCCTCAGGCTCTAACTTTCCATTTTATCCCCAATCCAGCTTGCCTGTTCCAGTGCAGCTGATAAGCTATTTCACTGTCCTTAAATGAGCCTCAAGTTTGTTTCATTCCAAATACCTAAAATCCAGAATTTAAGTAAGGGGCTTGGAAAAAAGTGACCTACAAAACATTGAGAAAGGAAATAAGGTGAAAAACTGTTTGAATGACAATCTAGGCCCTTACTATAGAGCAATGAATTAGATTGAACCTAAAGAACTTGTGACAGAGCCACTCCTCTCTGAAATCCCCGCCCCTTTCCGGAATTTCCCTAAGCTTTTAGTGAAATAAAACAGAAACTGATCTAGAGGGGTGAGAGAAGATCACTAGATTTCTTTCAGTAACAATCCTTAACAAGATCCCTGGCTGGAACGCTTCCCTGACAGACCTTACCTCTCTGCTGCCCTCAGCTTTTCTGCACCCCGAGTGTAAACTGCAATCGACCAATCCACGCAGCGAGCAAAACCTTCCTTCAGGAGGAGCTCTGTGATGTTCCCATTCTGAAAAACAGCATATGAGAAGGCAGGCCCAGGTGAGATTCCACTGCAAGAGAACCCCTTTGTCTAGACTTCTGACAAAATTAACATAGCCACAATCTATATTACAGTTTATTTAAGGGGAAATCAAAAAAAGCAGAGCTTTTTCTCTCATTAAGAAAGCCACCCAAAGATGGGAGACACCACCCTGCCACTCCTCCCAACAGCTTTGGTTTCATACCCAACAACACCCAGCACAGTAACTCTCATTAACAGGAGCAGGATAAATGTCAGTGACATTGAATGAAACTGACGTTTCAATAGTTCTTCTTGTGGGCAGGAGGATGTTAGTCTTTGTAGAGATTATATGGTATTATATCCTTCCCTAAGATCAGCACTTACTCCCCTTTTTGTAAGGGGAGAGCCGAAGAACAGCTGAGTAAGGGATAACTTAAGCTACATTTTGCCCAGTGAATTAGTTCATATTCTGCTGTGACACAGAGCCATCCAGCAGGGCACAGGCAGACACCTAATACTCTATAGATCAAACAGACATGACCTTGGCACATTCCAAACCAAGCCTCCCAGGGCTGCACAACTGCTACGACAGATGAATTCTCTGCCCAAAAATAAGTTACAGTAGTTTACTCTGAATTTGGATATTAGTTACAATATGAAAACACACTTAAGCTTGGGTATTACAAAACAAGGTCATTTCCTGTCCAAGAATAACCCACCTACTAAAGTATACAACTGGGTAAAATTCCTGGTAGTCAGAAGGAAAAACATAACCTATTTCCTGCTCAAAAGCAGAGTTAGGAGGTAACTAGGTTAGGTCTGGAATACACAGATTAACTTTTCCATAGAAAGGTTTCATTGTCACATTACTACCAGTACTTCAAATAGCTAACTTCTAGGACTACAAACAAATCCCACCAAAATTATTCTACAAGTTTCAGTGCCACTTCTAATTGATGTGACAACCATCCACCTTTCCTATTTACCATCACAAGTACCAACACTTGGGAAAATATGTGATAGCATTTCTCTTCCCCTTGAAACCAAATAAAGTGAGAGGCTATACAGGATTGTCTGATTCTATCCCTAAATAATGACTCAGAAACTCAGTAGATGATAATCCTGCCAAAGTATTTAAATTATTCTTAAATAAAGAGAAAAAGCAAAGTAAACCAGCTCATCAAATACCAAAGGTACCCCTAACCACATGCTACCCAGTCTGCACAGACACACTCACTGGATGAAGGATGGTACCCAGAATGTTCTGGTTGTGGCAGCTCTCCAGAATGATCTGAACATCTCTCTGAAGCAGGCGAGACTCGGTGAAAAATTTGGCTTCTGCAGCAAAAGGCTCTGGTGTTTCACTGCCATCTGCTTCCCGTCGAAAAGTTGGGCACTAAAACAAAAGTAAGGTACATGAGTAACACAGCCTCCTAAGGGTGAGCGCTAGGCACTCTCACGCCACACTGAGCCCGCTAAAACCACAACATCCACAATCAGGTCTTCTCTTTTTTTAAAACCAACTGGTAAAAACTGACCAGAAATAGCATCATCTCATGCTTCTTGGTAATGCAAATAAAGCTCACATTATCATGGGGAAAATAATTTTATTGAAAATAATCCTTTACCAAAAAGAAATTCTTGATTTTTTAAAAATCAAAATGGGTATTTTATATGAAGAAAAACCAATCTTTTTAGTAAACTTCAGAGCCTCCCATTTCTCTTTTCCAGGTTTCAAAAATCTCTCCTCATAGCCCACTCCAACCAGACCCCAAGTGCTTCAAAAATGAAAAAATCTGAGTTAAAAGATAAAGTACTCTATTCAATGCTGACTCTCCTACTAGAAAAACAGGAGAGCCTAAGTCACCAAGTAGCATCCACCTGTCAATGAAGTTCAACAAACCCTTTATGCCCACCCCATAGCCCAGTGTATGGTCTGACCTTGATCCCTGACAGCATGACCGTGACCAAGTAGTAATCCGGGAGGAGCAGAGCCCTGACCACACTGCCGTCCCGCACGTGCTCGATGATAGCTGCATGACAGAATGAACAGCTTAAACTGTTAGTAAAACTCGTGCCAGGGATAAACTATGCCCAGTCAAGCCGCATTTAATAAGGACCCTCCCCAAAACCCTCAGAAAGCCTCCCTCTGAGAAGTGAGGAAGCAGTGGACAATCATGAGTGTGTGTTCACACAACAGACTCTTCTACAAACTATTCCTGCAGAATATGGATTAGACCAACTTCTACATCCTGAACTTTCCAGGATCTCACTGCTCCTACCTAAGCTGTTATCAGTCAGCTAGGTTGCTTACCTAGTACCAGGTGCCAGCAAAAAATAAATAACTGTAAGTCAGGACTAGTAATAAATTTACTGAATTTGTAGTTTAGCAAAGCCTCAAAGTTGCGCCAAGAATTATATAGCGTGTGCAAGTGCACTTGGTGTGTGTGTGTGGTTAGATGTGTACAGAATACATATCCCTACTTCAATAGTTGGGGGGTGGAATTTAAGTATCATCTTTTAGAAAATAGGAAAATCCCCCAATATTCAAAAATACCAGCAATTTACTTCCCTCCATCAGCAAATGACTAACCTCTACAAAGTACATCTGACAGAGCCTGCCTGGTCTGGATTCAAGCTCCTTTCCACACACCATGGTATTGTTTCACCCTTAACAACTTCCACGGGATACTAAATAACTCAAATAGGATTTATAAACCTCAAGAAGCTTGAGAGCAAGTAGAAATCACTCTGAGTCACATCAATCTTTTCTGGCCAGCCTCACCATTGACAGGCTTCTGATGGTGTGAGTCCACAAAGTGCCTTGGGTTCTCAATTGCATACTTGAGGTCCCGGATAGTATGTGAACCGTTCCCCTCACTCCACATCCCTTTCTTGGCTGCCTTCGCTTGCTCTTCACATTCTGAAAGCCGGTTCTGTTCAGGACTGGGATGTGAGAAATAAACGGGTGTTTAGTGAGCGCACAACAGAAATATCAGGCTTTTCTCTGACTCTGGGTTTTGTCAGCAACTCTCCCCTTGAAAAGACCTTTAAAAGCATTTGTTTCAGATCTACAGCTTCAGACCCGAGCGTATCACCAGAAAACCAACGTGAGTGCAATTTCCGGATTCCAGACTTGTTCACTCAAACAACAGATTATGAGCATTTAATGAGCGAGGCAAAGGATACACATCTAAGTACTGCCACCATCAGTGACTGCAAGAGAACAAGTTGGTGGCTCAGAGGGAAGCCACTCCAGGGGGTACAGCTTCATTTCAGTATCCCAGATTCAGGAACTGAAATCCAGGCAGAGCTCAGCAGGAAGCAGCACAAGAAAAGTGACTCAGAGCCACCCTTACACCCTGTCGTTTGCAGAAAGGGCTGGGGGATGCAAAGCAAATACTGTTATTACAGATGTCAGCCCAAAACTACTTATACATTCAATAAGGCCAGCTAAGCAAAAGTAAAGCAGTTTGAAAATGGAACTCCTCCTTCATTGGGCAAGAAACCAAACTACATAAGAACAGCCAGAAAGTCAGTAGGTAGACCAAAAAACAAAACCAGAAATGGCTCTGCAATTTCTCTCTCACACACACATACACACATATCTGAGCTAACAGGAATAGTAAACTGCCAGGTCTTTCTACAACCTCAATAATTCCTTCCAACAATTGCTGTTATTCAAAATGGAATCTCCTACCTCAGTTGGTAGGGATTTCTGAGCAGGGATCCCCGCCCTACAGTTTCTCAACCCAGAAGTCTTCAATACTATTCTCTCCCTCCTCCCCCTAAAAAAAACATCACATCCTCAGGGATCCAAAATGGCAGCCAAATTCAGTAGAAACAATGTAACTTAAAAAAGAGAGAAGCAAACAGAAACTGAGAAAAGGGTTTAAGTCAAGACAACTTTGGAGAAAAAAGAATTAGGATTCCAAGGGAGATTTCATTGTTGACATGGAACAATACTGCTGCAGGTTTTTAAATAAATTTTTCATTCAGGTTGCAAATTGGATTGGAAAACAAAATGAAGCACTGCTATAATCATGCCAAGGATTGTCCTTAAGATGCAACTTTGGCATATTCCCAAAACTACCACCTAAGACAAATGCTGTAATTTGTCTTACGTGGGAATTCAACAAATCCCCACATATTCACACCCCAATTATAGGTTCCAACAAATGTCTCTTCACAGAAAGGACCCAAAATCTATGAGCGCAGAGAGAACACAAAAAGTGCATTTTTGCTATTGTTCTACCCCACCATTAGTACAGTACATGCAAATATTTACATAAAGCCTTTTTCACAGCTACAACAGTCATATAATATAGCAAGGACTTAAGAATTTAAACAGCATCTTTAGCCTCCAAATTACCGAGGTAACATACCACTTTTCAGAGACTAAAGCGTTAATTAAAGCCAGCTGCAATCCATCCAACTGAGAGCCAACACTCGTGAACTTGGACATGATACATATGCTATAAAGCTCACATTACTAACATTCATTTCTAGTAAGTTCTTACTGCCATTATCTAAATAAATACAATTTTACCTACTACTGAAGTATCTGTAGATCCATAGCTCAAAACAGACTTAAAAAGCTTTGGAGAAAGAAAATTTTCCCTGACTTTAAAATAGAAACCATTGAGCCCTTGCTAGTTTCCCTAGCATCTATGCAGATTTTGCTTGAATTCTATTTATTCACTCCACTTCATTTTTCATTGCACACAATATATTGTATATCTATATGCTGATTTATTGTCTGTCTCCCCAGACAATGTTAGCACAGGCTAAGTCTGTTCACTGCTATATTCTCAGTGCTTTGAACATTGCCTGGCACAAATTAAGTGTTCAATGAATCTTTTGGGATGGATGGGTAAGTCCTCTGGAACTGAACACCTGTGCAGTGGAAGAAGTCAGAAGGCCAGAAGACTAATGAATACTTACTTATTGGCTCTCATGCCTTCTCTCCGGGTGGCCAAGCCTTCTGCAACTAGAGATTCTGCAATGTTTTCCCCATTCGTATCTGAGGTAGAAAAAGGGAATTAAACAGGAGATTCAAATCTGTTTCTAACAGCAAGAGCTCAAATGGGACCACCTTCCCCCTTAGCGCTTCAAGAATGTTGGTGCCACAGAACTGCGGAAGGCAACAATATGGTGTTGAGCTTTTCAGCAAACCTCTTCTCCCAAAACATCTAGTCTCTAAGTCCCAAAGGCCTATAAATCATCTTCTCAGAAGTTTCTAATTTTCTCATGTATCTCCCAAGCCAAAGGCAACTAAGGGACCACGAGAGAGAGACAAGGAGGACACGTGCAGGTGCCCAGAAGAGCATAAATAACAGTGACCTGAGGAGTAGAGGTGTGGAGCTGAATACAAACTTGCCAATTAAATAGCTTCAACAGGCTCTCCCAGCATCCTCATTTACTCATCTATAAAATGGGAAGAGGACCTGGCCTGCATAGGTTCCTGTGAGAATTGAACAATGTCTATATGGAGCCAAGTACAGTGCCGAGCAAATAGCAGGAATTAAAAACAAAAGTTAGTCCCTACATGCTATGCAATGAGCCAGACTGATTCACTCAGGACTATCATGTCATACATGAAGTCCAGCTTCCCCAAGATGCCCTACCCTCTGTTCGAGGAGGACACCAAGCCATGTCATTTGACGGACGTCCTAATGCTCTCAGAGACACAGGGAATGGTGTCTAGATTTCTAATCTATCACATAGCAGCAGGCAAGAAAAATGAAGTTAAATTTAAAATCCAGCCTGATTAGGCTCATCCCTGGGGATATGAAACATTAATTGTATTTCCATGCTATTGAAAAATGTTTAGGCTCTATGTGTTCTCTTAAATCTCCTTGTCAGACAAAATGACAATGGAAGACATCTATGAGGGAATCATTGCATAAAAATCTTTAATATGGCAGAGAATAAGGTCTTAGATAAGCTGAAACACAGCAGTCTAGCTGATAGGTAATGTCAGCACAGGATAAACTTCTATGAGATTTATAGTCAGTACACTGTACACTGACTTCTGCAAGCAATAGTAAGTATGCACACACACCCAAACCCAACTTGAATGCCCTGCCATTAGCATTGCCCAAATTTCTGCAGAAGCTAACTGGAAGACCTCTTTTACCTCCAAGGAAAGTTGAGAAGAATGATATTTATACAAAGAACAGTCAGTTTCTGACGCTGAGAGTGGATCACAAGATCCTTTCCACAGAGGTTGTTGCTAAAGTGAGACAGACAGACACGCACAGCTATCTGACATGAGCAAATATAACACTGTTTCTTTCAAAGCAACAGGAATCGCAAAGAGTGGGAAGTCAAAAGGAAGGATTCAACAATTCAAGGAAAAATTGAACAGTAAGGTGCCAAGAGGTCAGAGGGTAGAAAGCATGAAGCCCAGGTACAAACAGGGCGAATGGCCATAAAACCAGCCAGTCAACAGCGCACTCGACAGTCTCTTGGCCCAGAGCACTCTGAAATGGCTGTCAGTGGGCCTTCTTCTAAAAAGTGAGTTCGGATTGCTCCTTCCAAAGGAGAAAAACCGATTTCCCTAGGACAAACTCCCAAAGGAGGCAACAAAGTGTGGTGTATCAGATACTAAAACAGGAAATTTGTAAGTCAAATATCAGATTCTTGCTTATAACTTATCAAGTCATAAATATGATCAAGGCACAATTGGAGATGGTATTCAGAGCAAGTAACATTTTCTCCAAAAGCCAGAAAATTAATTTTTTTAAGTAAGTTCTAGTTAACCATAAATCATTAAATTCCACCTTACTCCCCACTGCCTATCATAAAGACTAGCCACAAAATCAAATATATGGACACTAATTATCTCAGCCAGTTTCCTTTCATTAGAACTGGCACTGAGATTTGGTTAAAATATCTGATTGAAAATATTAGTTCCTTAAACCTTCAAATGATGTAGATAATTTCAATCACTCTTTCAATACCTATTTAATGATGACCTATGTGCCAGGCTTTTTTCTAAACACTAATTCATTAACATGCTAAATTATATCCAGTTTGTAATTCAGGTCAGTTTATTAAAAACTTTTTTAAGAGATCAAGGTTATGTAAATGAACTCTTAGAGGTAGTCTCTTTAGATAGGTATCTATGCTGGAAATTGTCTGTAGTCCAGTGAGGCCTTTTGCAGGTAACAGGAGACTGACCAGCTGTTATGGAACTGGATTTTTTTGGGTAATGAAATTCTTGAATGAATGCATTCTGAAGATAGTGCAATTCTATTTGCCTTACATTCTTTCTAATCAGTCACCACCCAACAATAATGCTTTAAGTATTTTATTTCTGACTCTATTATTTGAATTTTGGATAAAAAGCAAATTGATTTGTTTCTCTTTTTGAAAAGATTTCATATATTTCTATGATTTCCCATGAAATCAAGAAGCAGACAGCCATTTGTCTGAGAGGCTGAAAAAGGTTTGTCTACTGGGTAAATTGGACAAGCTATCCCCAAGGTCATCCCCAACCCACTTTTCAAAAACCTATATAATTAAAATCAGAATCTTAAGAGGATGTGGTTAGTCTTCATCGTCTGCTTACCTTTGGGTAGCTTACTGACTACCCAAGTCAAATAGATGATCTAAAGCTGCTCAGTTAGAAGGTTCTTTTATCAAAGAATTACAGGAAGCCTTTAAAAATATCTGCTCCCAAGATAATTCCAGATGAACACAATTGTTTGTGCTTAGATATCTGGCTGCTATATGGAGAATATTCTACCAATTAGCTCAATGGCCACTTCAATTCAAATTCCATTCTTCAATCTTACTCTCCTCTCCCTCCACCTAAACCACACCCCCAAAAAAACCCAGAACACCTAATATCCTGTGAGCCATCTGACTCAGCTAACAAACTAATATAATTACTGAGTACATATGCTGTGCCAGGGTTAGGTGCTTTACATATACTGTCTCTTTAAACTCAGTAACTTATAAATGAAGAAACTAGGGCTTAGAAAGTGAAGGGTTAAATAAGGGTAGATGGTCAGAGAGCCAGGATTCAGACCTACATCTACACAGTTCCAAAGCCTGTGTTCTTTCCATTCAGTTATACAACATGTGGCTTGCAAAAAACCGCAAACCCTAAACAAATCTTGTTTTCCTTAAGCCAGCCCCTAGGAGGAGAAGAAAAGCCACAAGATAGATAAAAGAAATAGAAGATGCAATAGAAAATCTATAGGAATTCAATTAAGCACTATGACCTAGAAGCACAAAGCCATTAAGTTCCATGGGCGGATGGCCTGAATACAGAGACGCTACACTGTGCTACACAAACCAGGCCAGGAAAGCGGGCAGAGGAGTAACAAGGAGCAGGAGCACCGGGGCACGCCATGGCTCTAGTGCTCAATGCCCTTCCAACTACCCCACACCAACCGTCCTAGGCTACCTCCACCAGAACTCACAATGGCCTCCCCCAGATGAAATCTGACCTTTGGAGAAACTTTAAACTCAGAGAGAAGTACGTCCATCTCTCCCTGCTACTCACCTTTCCCAAGGTAGATCATGCCATACTCCCGCCCCTGAGGAGTCTTGTTTTCTATCGTGAAACAGACCTCCTTCCCGATCAGTTTCTTCCGAAGGAACTCCCGAGCAGGAAATGCCCAGGGCTGAAAGACAAACAAATGTGTCACCTGGGAACTGCCCAGTTCCCGACTATGGTCAGCATTCAAGCAACTTCATTCCTTCAATATCCTGGCCCCACACTAGGCCCTAAGGAGAATATAAAAATGAAATGCATACAACACAGACTGAACACTTAGAAGACTAGCTGCTGGTTTAACTAGCACAGGCTCTAAAGCTTCCCAGATATGGGCAGTAATACTTTTCCCCATCACGGGCTATTCAGAGATACAGCTTACTTCATGAATGACAATGGCCAATAATTTTATAGCACTGGCTTTGTGCCAGCCACTACTTTAAAAACTTGTATTTATCAACGCACTCCTGAATGAAGTCCAGGTTGCAGGAACTCACCTACCCAAAGGGAAGACATAAATAACAACTATTACCTCCATTTGTTTACCTCTTCTCAGTTCACAAAACACTTTCACTGATTACCTCACTGATTATTTAAACTAGCCTGAAACCAGAGGTGAGGGCACTGCCTCTTAGGGACAAGGTTCTAGTGCTATTATTTCAGAGTGAGTCCCCTGCTCATGTATGGGTCTTGCTTATTTCCCCCCACCTTTTTTAAGAACAGCTGTGCCAGTGAAACCCTTGTAAGTCCCACAACCTTAGGGAAGACACCAGTACAGGCCCTTGTAAGGGATCACCTTGACAATGACGTTTCTTTCCCTCCTCACCCATTCAAGACCCTGACACAAGGGGTGAGCCACACATCCACATAACGGGAAGTAGAATTCCCATGTGACCTCCAGATAATGTGTAAAGAGATGGTTCTGCCCCACCCCATCACTTCTAGGATGGTGCAAAGGGAAATGTTTCCTCTAAAACAATACTGCCATATATAGCACAGAGAAGAAAAGTAGTGACACTCTAACATCTTGCTATAGTAATGGACAGTGACTGCACTGGGGTATTGGGGGGACTTGATAATATGGGTGAATGTAGTGACCACAGTGTTGCTCATGTGAAATCTTCATAAGATTGTATATCAATGATACTTTAATAAATAAATAAATATAAATAAAAACAAACAAAAAATAAGTAAATAAAAACAATACTGCCATAGCCACTGGCACTTGAATTTACAGTCTGGACCTAGCTCAGTGCCCCAAGTTCCCTTAGAAGAGAAAAGAAGAAGGAGGGGTTAAGCATTCAAGGAGTATGTGATCCATAGCAGCTCATGTGCAGATAAAATGCAAAAGAATAAAAAGGAAGAGTGGTATACGATATGCATACATTGTCTATTACAATCATTGGAGCTGCAGATTGGGGCTACACACAGTAAAGGCAAAGCAGTACATAAGTGGCCTGAAAAAGGAAGCCTCCCCTAACCTTTTCAAGCCATGAAGATAATTCCATGGGGTTATCCAACAAGCTTTCCTAAAGAAAAACATTCATATGATTTCCCAGAGACCAAAAGCTAATCAAAGGGTGGCAGTCTACCAACCCTTTGGGCTGGTATTGTCAAAACCAGTACTGTTACATAATATCAGTTGTGAACAGTTCTAGGAAGAACTAATTCTTAGCGCTCTTGACATGAAGACCAGCTTACACTCACTTATCTAATGCTCTCTCCTCAAAATACCAAAGAGCAAAAGAGCCTATCTCTCAATGACAACATAAAATCTACCATATTTGTATGTCTCATTTCTACCCATTGTCCCACTCCCAAAAAATGGAAACAGCTACCTGCTATCAAAGAGTTTTAGAGCTAGGCAGTAAGAAAAAGCACAGTGGAGGTATTAAAAGGGACATATACCTAATCCTATATTAAAAAAAAAATCTAGTTTCTATAATCTTGCTTTCTTTAACTAGCCTTCTCAAGTTGTGTTCCATTCAGGGTTAGGCAAATTCAAAAACTGCAGGGGTTTTTTCAGCTATGAAGAGAGGCAACTGAGAGACTCAGGGAAGCACTGACCACATTACTCCTCACAAGGGCAACAGACCACTCTGGGAGAAAATCTTTGCGCAAGTGTCCATACAAACGATAGCCAGCAGAAGGCGATATGATGGAGAGGGCTCCCAACAGAGTGTTCCAGAATAATGCTAGGAGTCATGCACAGGAAAATTTCCTCAAAGCATTTATCAAATAAGGTCTAGAATGGCCTGGTAGGAAAAACAGCTGAGGTCTGTTCAATGGTCTATTCATGATGCCCCCAAGCTCAATCTAAGAAGCAATGGCCCTTAAGTAGTTGAGATGCAACATCACCTCTTCCCCTTAGAATGCCTAACAGCAGGCAATGTAACAGCTTGCTCTCCACTCCCAGGCCCAAGCAAGGGTTCTGATATGAACCTCAATGAAATATTTTTAATTCCAATTTTTTCTTTGGATCAGGTAGACTCCTGAACTACTACAAAAGATTAAATCTCTTAATGTAAAACCTTAAAGCTAAGAACTTTTGTACATGGCCCAATGTTGAAGACTTCTTGTCCTTCTCTGTCATACCTCTGTACCATGTGCCCAAGTAATTAATCCCTCTCTGCCCCACCACCCTACCATGCTAATTCTCAAAAGCTCACTGAATACAGGTCTGTGACATTCATTTCTGTTATTTCTCAGGAAACCAGCATAGAGCTTCACACATAACAGGAGCTCAATAAATCTGTGGGAAATAAAAATCTAATTCCTGCAGTGCCCATCAATGCAGTATCCAGGCTGCCTAGAGTAACTAGGCAACGCTGGGGATTAGCCTCAAACAGGGCAATGATGCCCAAGGACACACAGTACAGCTGCTTTTATTGCCACAGTACTTAAAGGAGAACTGAGTTTCTTTGAAAGAAGATACCAGGAGCGAAGAAAGAATAATCGACTGAATGTTATTTGGGACAGTGATAAAAAGGGAAGCAAATGAACAATACTGTCCTTGACTGAATTTGAATGTGAGAAAATTAGACAACATGCTCCGAAGCCAGCAAGAAAGGTGTGGATAAAATGAAGGTTCCTGTGGCCAGTATTCTAACCTGGCCCTGATTGGCTAACTCACTACACATCTTTGGGCAATGCATTGTTATTGACTCTATATAAAGAGCTCTACCCAGTGCTCTGTGCGACACAGTGGCACGGCTGCAAGGCTGCAGGAGAGCAGAGCAGAGGCTAGAGTGGTGGGAGGGCCGAAGACAGAGGCCCTGAGGATGGCTGTGTGGCTAGAGAGGCCCAGAGGCAGAGACTGGCTTGCTGCATGCAGACTCGCTCTGAGTGGACGGAATTCTAGTGACTGACCTGCCACCATAGGAATAAAGTTGGGTATAACTCTTTCACCCCAAGAATGCTTTACTGTCATTTCTTTGGTCACATTGAATCCATAGTGAATTTGCCCAGGGCAGAAACCCACTGGTAAGACAAAAGGGTAATGCCACATTCCATAATCCACAGATCCCCAAAAAAGGTGATACTCAGCTTCTTTCATCTTTATTCACTAAATACTGGTTTTCTGTCAGGCACTTACTAACTAGGTGCAAGAAGACAGTTAAGAGGCCTCCCCCTCAAGAAGCTTACAATCTACCAGAAAAGGCATCAACTTGAAGTAACATGTTATGAGCACAAAAATGGGCTGAGGAAAGATGGCAGCTGTGATTCCTCAGGAGGCTAGATAGATCTTAAGATAGTGGTAGGTGTTCACCAGGGCTCAAGGTGGAGAAGGGACTCCTGATGGAGGGGGCAGCATGAACCAGGCCATGAGCAGGCAGATCTCCAGCAGCCTGTTGGAAGGCCCCAGTGCTCCTACATGCTGGGACTGGCATCCCAGAGCAGGGGTTCGGTAAGAGAAAACTGATGTCAAATCACAAATGGGCTTAGCATTTACATTTGTCACAGATAATGAGGAGTCACTGAAGAGCTTGGGAATAATACTGGGCAGGGGAATAAATGAAATTATGTTTCAAAAGAGATACAGAAGCATATGGAGAAAGGATCAAAGGGGAGGAGAATGACAGCAGAAAATTCCAGGCACACTATGAGTTGAACAAAGAACATCAGAAGCAGTAATGAAGTGTCAAAGATGGAAAAGAGATTTTAAGGATGCAGAATCTCTAGGTCTTGACAAAGGTCTGGATGTTTGGAGGGGAAGGGACATTTTGAAACAAGAGCAAGGGAAATCAGGTTTCTGATTTAGGTTACTAGTTGGCATCACGGTTAACCTGAGCCAGAACAGCTTCAAAAAGTTTCATGGGAGGGTGAAACCAGGTCACAGCAGATAAAGGTGACACTGGATTGTTAGGATGGAGAAATAATGCTTGTGTCTGACAAAGGGTGAAATCGGTACCTACCAAAAACTTCACACTTCAGGGACCTTTGAAGAGTTAGTAGGAGAAACTTAGTGAGACTAAGTTGCTCTGGAAGAGACAAAAAGCACTACTGTATGAATGTATGAAACTATGACAGCTGAGACCAGATCACACAGCAGTCCTTCAGCCACGACAGTTCTGGAAGATTTTCTTACACTGTTACACAGGCTACAGTTAAGATACTTTAGATTAAGTTCCAATTAGCCTTGGGTTTCCCTGCCCTAGATCCTCAGCTATGAAAAAGGAAATTAAAACCCAACCCTTCTCTTAGAGGCTACATTACTTCTTCCTTCTGGGGAAATGAACTTGATCAGCTCTAGCCAGCCAGGGTCAACACTATTCTCCTCTCAGAAGCAGTCAAGCTGTTACACAACACACATTGGAAGGAAAACAACTACTCAAAATGCTGGCCAAGAAAGGCACTCAGCCCCCCAAAATTTGGAGAGAGTTGCAAGAGATTTAATCTTCAGCACTTGGCCCAATAGTCTGAAGAACGTTTAAGGAGTGTTTACAGTAACTGAAGTTAACACACAGCAGTACTGATTACCACAACTAGTAAGTACTTTGTAGGCATGTGCTAGCACTTCACGGTATCCTGTTTAACCTTCACTGAACAATCCTAATGGATACACTATTTACTATTCCCAAAGCTCGTGGTCACTGATGGAGGAACAGTGAAAATGAACTTATCCTGGCCTTTTCAATCATTAGCCCAAGACTCTAACTGCTGTTAATAGCAGATTTACAGGTGATTCTTCCCTGTTTTCTATAACACTGCTTCACTATCTTACTTCAAACAAATGTCCTTTATTATGGGGGAAAAATGTTTTCCTTAAATCAAAATCCCCGTGAGCTGCATTTTCTCCACTTTCTTGTCAGGGAAGAGCAAAAGAAAGCCGAGGTACCGACTCACCCAACATCAAATTGGGGCAAAGGTCAAATAATTAATTAGAATCCAGAAGTTTTGTTTTTGATAGCCTAAGCACTATTAAAGAAACAACTGATGTTTCAAAGTATAGGAGACAAATTTGGATTCACAGCATCTGCCTGGAGATGCAAGAGTCCAAGGCAGACCACAAAGGCAAAGTGGCAGGCATTAGAAGTGGGGGACAGGGGAATGGGGGGGATGTCACGACAAAGGCAGAGAAGCTCAGAAGTGTCTCAGATCACCATTACACAATGGTTCTTGACTACTACTGAGCCACAAGGTGCCTGGAGAAACTGATTCAAAACTTCCGCCCTTAACAATGCATATTTATACAAAATTTTGCAAACAGTGTCATAAGGTTCACAGATGCCTTTAGGGGTGCACAGATTCAAGATTAAGTGTCTATAATAAACATCACTTGTGGTATGCTACCATTATTTTCAAAGAAGAATGTCTGCTTGTATAGGTGATTATCACTGGAAGGAGACACAGGACACTAGTTAACATAAGTAGTCCGACCCTAAGAGAACTAGATTTGTCACTGTCTATCTTCCTAAAATTTGAATATGAAAATTCAAACCTTAATAGAAGAGCTCTGCCATAACCAATGGAAACCTCAACAGTTGAGAGAGACTATGTAGGAAATGTTCTAACCTATTGCAAGAGAACGAGGAGTGAAAACATCAATAAACCTGAGAAGAATCTCTAAAAGCCTATTGGAAAGGGTATGAGAAAAAGCCCTGGGCCTGGGATTTCTGCTTAGGCTACTGAATGTATAACAATGCATGCCACTGTGGGTATGACAAGGGTCAGCCCTGCTATGTAAAAACACTCAAAATATAGAAAAGCAAGCATACGTCCAACTCGCATCAATCAAGGAGGAGAATGGGCTGTAAGCTGGGTCCGCAGCCTCAGGGAAACCTCTGGAAGCACCTACCTCATCAGGGGTATCTTTTGCATCAGGTTGCGTTGCAGCCGCCCGGCGGGCAAGGTTTCCAGCTCGAATGTTGCTAAGGTTAATCTGCCTCTCAGGAGGAGGCCCACCACGAGGCTGCCCGCGGACAATGATGGCGCACCCTGAAAGCACCTAAGTGGGTTGGGTGGAGAGAAAAAAAGAAAATTAGAGGTACTATCACACAATACAGGTTGTTCACTGCTGTATCCCCAACATCTAAGAACAGTACTTGGCACCTTAGAAGCACTCAAACATTTATTGAATGACTAAATGAATCGGATTGTTTGTAAGAGAAATACCTACAAAAAACCTTCGGCTAGATTCTGAAATGATAGACCCCAGAAATGCAAGTAGGAATTAAACAAGTAGAAAAGTCACAAAATAAACTATTCAAGTGAAGAGGCATGTGAGCCATAGAAACTGATAACCTTTGTAATTTCATCCCAGCAAACACCACCACCTAAGTCCTTCTCAATTACTAAGAAGTGTATGTCTCCATCTACACATTCCACTCTGGGATGGAACAAGCAATGAAAGGCCTAAGAAAATGGTAAAGCTGAAGGAAACACCCATGCAATCATCTGGAAGGAGACAAGTACACCCAACACTACTGTGGTCACAGCTCAACCAGAGCCCAGCACTTACACTTCCATTGTAGACCATGCTCAGAAGGAATCTAGAAAACACTTAGCTCTAGATGATTAAAAAAAAATCAAAGCACCTTAAGGCTCCCAAGATTCCTAAGAATCCCAAGGATTCCAAGGAGTTATACTGGTCTTGGAATCAAAGCCACCAGACATAGAACCCACTTGCAAGTATAGAAAGAGCTCGGAAGCTCCCTGTTATTTAATTTTAAAATATTTGTAGGGGAGAAGAAGGGAAGATTTCAAGTGGGAGAAGAGAAGGTGTACAGAATAAAAAGACAAATGTCACCAAAGCTATTCACGTTATCTTTGCTCAGAGAGGCACAATTCAATGAAAAGACAGGCCCAAACACTGACTGCACTAGATCTGAAAGACTTTCAGTCCCAGACTTCACAGTGAGAATTAGCTGCTCAAAAGTTAGTAGATGGAAGATTCGAGAGTTCTGGCAACACAGCGCTCTGTGGTACACAATACCAAGGAATGGTCCCTGGAAAGGAAGCCCAAAGAAAAAAGGAAACCATTACTGTATATGTTGGCTTAACTGACATTTCTCCCCAACTTAATGTTTTAAGTTATGAAATATTAATATAAATATGGAAGTACATTGACAATGTAAGTATGTGTTAAAAAAGTAAAATATGCAAACAACTGTGTAACCACCACCCAAGTTAAAACCTCTATCACAACCTTGGATTCCCTCTGTGTGTACTTTCTTTGCAGCTCCTTCTCCTGCCACTGTTATCCTGAACGCTGTGATAACATCTCCCTTGCTTTCCTGTACAGTTTTACCATCTCTGTGTACATCTCTATGCAACAGAGTTTAGAATTAGTGAAAATGAAACGCCATGTAATTGAGTCTGCTGCATGCACCCATCAGTGACTTGCTTTTGTTTGTTTTGGTGAAACTCATGTTTATGTAAAACACCCATTTACTCACTTCTCACAGCTGTAAACTATTCCATTATATGACTATACCATTATTCATTTATAAATTCGACTACCTTTTTACAGAAACTCTGCCAATAAACAAACACGTTCCAATGAAAAAAAAAAATAGTGCTCCAACTAGTGTCTCAGTATTTCTGATACCTTAGGCACACAGACCTGGTCTAAATGCTCCTGTCTACTCCATGACACACATAATAAAAGATTATGTTCTTTATCCAGTTCTGTGTCTGCTCTTTATTTTTATCCTTTCTAACCAAGTGTTACCAGCAATTAAACTCTACAGCTTCCAACCAACTGCCCTTGCCATAGCCTTTCCTGAGAACCCATGTCCCAGGGCATCATTCCTGGGAACTGAGAGTCTAAAAAGACACGCTCTCAAAGTGAAGCCAGGCAAAAACAGGTATGTGAGAGCAGAGGGTGTCTGGTGTTCCCTAAATGAGAAGGGCCAAAGAAAGATATGAAAAAAACCTGGACCTGATTCACTGACTAGCAATTCTCACAAGTGGCAGAAGCAAGAACAGCCCACCTGTACTGGAAATCATTCACGCACAAATTCCCAATGGGGCTGAAGAGAACCAAGCTACATACCGCTTATGAACCAGAGCATCTGTCTCCAATGCCTGCCTCAATTTTAGTCAACTTTTCACCAAAAGTACTTTTAGTACTTCTTGGTAAACCTAGTTAGAAAAGCTTATTCCAATGTGGATAAAATGAAAGTTCCTGTGGCCAGGATTCTCACCTGGCCCTGGTTGGCTAGCTCCCTACAAACGTGTGGGCAATACATTGCTATTGACTCTATATAAAGAGCTCCACCAGTGCTCTGGGTGACATGGTGGCACAGCTGCAAGGCTGCAGGAGAGCAGAGCAGAGGCTGGAGTGGTGGCAGCGCCGAGAACAGGTCCAGAGGATGGCTGTGCAGGACAGCTGTGCAGGCAGAGAAGCCCAGAGGCCCAGAGGCAGAGACCAGCTTGCTGCATGCAGACTCGCTCTGAGTGAACAAGATTTTAGTGACTGACTTGCCACCGTGGAAATAAAGTTGGGTATAACCCTTTCACCCCAAAAACATTCTACTGTCATTTCTTTGGTCACACTGAATCCATAGCAAACTTGCCCGAGGCTGAAACCCATTGGGAAGACAGCACATTTACAAGAAAACTCATCTTGGCTGATTTAGATCAACTCTGGTGAGTGAGCACTGACCTGGTCTAGAAAATATTCTTAATCTCTTGAGTCTGACAAAAACCACTGAAATGCTCTGGTACAGAATGACAGATGAGAAAATTCCCTTTTCCCTTAAATACGAGAAATGGTGTTACCGCTAATGCCTGTACCTAATAAACTAGATCCCTGAGAAACAATGGGTCAATAATTATTACCCTGGCCCAATTAAGGACTTTGGCAAACAATTTGTACACAGGGAGTTTGCAAAACTTCCTTTGTGCATCCTCGCCTTTCTGAATGCTATTCTGAAGACTGCTCCCAGAACTTTGCATTATTGCACCAAGTATGCCATTCAGACAAGAGTCAGTGAATTGGAAAGATGACTTTTACTTTATAGGTTGCTTGACACTTTTATACTGAGTATACAAATTCAACCCCTTAAGCAACAAGAATTGATATTCATTGTGCTAGGAAATGATAATCATATTCCCCCAGGACAAAAGGCCTGACACCTGTACACCTTTCCTGGGAAACTCCTTCCCCTCTTTTGGCCACAGCCTTGTGAGAAGTAGGAGAAGACTGTCTGCAGATCCCTAAGAAAGGAAGAAACCTGTCTATAATAAAAGAACTCTGTTTCTTTCTACTACTTATAGGAACTAGAGAGCAAAGAGGTGGTGCAGTATGTTTTTTGAACTATCTCCATTTCATCTTCCAAATATTGGTTAAACTGCTTACATGTCAACAGTTTTTCAAGTTTTTCCTCAATAAAAATATTTTCACAGCTTTCTCTTAATCTAAGATTTCCTACTAAATAAAGCCAAGGAGAAACAGCTTCTGGGGGAAAAAAATATTTAAATGGTCTCTAAGTAAAATATGAAAAGACCAAGGATCTATATATATAATTTAACCTGTATCTCATATGGCACCAAAATAAGTTATCTTTCCTCTGTGAAAGACCTGACATCTAAGTTGATTACTTTTACAATTGTATTCACTGACTTATTTATTCACTTATTAATTCAACACAAATTTACTGAGTGCCTATGTGTCAGGCATTATTCAAGACAAGTGGTATACTTCAGTGAAATAAAATAGACCAAAATGTCTGCTCCTGGATAGCTGGAATTCTAGTGGGGGAAGACAGAAAAATAATAAACCTAACAAGTAAAACATATCCTTTGTTTCATTAGAATTTTAATTTCAGAAGAATAATGTTAAGATTGAGAGGAAACTGGTCATGGGTAATTGTTCTGCCATAGCTATAGTGATTCATGTTGCAAACCTTCATGGATGCGGTAATTATCCTTAATTGCTAATTTATAGGGCATAGAAAGCAAGTCATATGGTAACTGCTTTATCCAATTATATTAATAAAATGATGTATTCTAGAAAAACTATCTCAGCCCTACCTGATACAGCAAGAGGTTTGTGGAAACAGCTGTCACAATGAATCCGTTTGATTGAGGTTATGGATTAGACATTTCTCAGCTCTGCCAGTAAAGGTTGCAGAGGGTACGTGGTGTGATTCAGAGGACATTGCTTCATGGCACAAGTCGGATGGTGAAAAAAGCTGAAACAAGCCACATGAGAAGGAAAATGGGGACTCAAACTGCTCGATCCCACTTATAGGTTTACTGGGAGATTTACCTATGGTGAAGGACTTTATGGGCAGCCACTAAAATGTTGCCCAGCAACAGGAACACCATATTAAATCTCCACTAGATCCTCATAAATGATTTGGTGTGTTTAACTCTTAAAACACCCAGACCACAGACACAAGACAGTAAATTTCTTAGACATAAACCTAGCCACACTATACTCAGGGCAAAAAAGTGATGGCATCCATATGGATTCCAATAAAGCCAGCGTTTTTTTCCACAGCTCCAAGAGCAAAAAACTTGGTTTGAAAATGGAATCCTCCTAGCTGAGAGCATTTTCTTAGCTCTGCAAGGAGGACTGGCTGAACAGGTATAATGCCTGTTAAGATGTAACAGGAATTTAATCCACACATATATGGTCAATTAATATATTATAAAGGAGCCATGCATATACAATGGAGAAAAGCCTCTTCAACAACTGGTGTTGGCTAAACTGGACAGCTACATCTAAGAGAATGAAACTGGATTATTGTCCAACTCCATACACAAAAGTAAACTTGAAATGGATCAAAGATCTGAATGTAAGTCATGAAACCATAAAACTCTTAGAAGAAAACATAGGCAAAAATCTCTTGAATATAAACATGAGCAACTTTGTTCTGAACATCTCCTCAGGCAAGGGAAACAAAATAAAAACTGAACAAGTGGGACTAAATCAAACTAAAAAGCTTCTGTACAGCAATGGATACTATCAACAGAACAAAAAGGCATCCTACAGTA